CTTACCTCTTGCCCTCATGCGGCAGCTTGGTGAGTCTACTCCCCCTACACTGGTTCCTCCCCACATTGATATGAAACTACCAGTCTTCTGTGTCAGTATTGAAGGGTTCTGCAGACAAGCTGGTATTAAAACATTTCCTGAACTCGATTAATTCATCTTTATTTTACTTTTGTTTTATCCTAACGGAACTACAGGCTACCTTGGCTACACCAGTGGCTTTTCTTTGACCTGCATGGTGTTCTTCCTTATCTCTGTAAGTAGGGGAGGGGGGTATTAGGGGGAATTTAAGATTTCCTTTATGGACACCAGAAGCCAAAGAAGGCCTGAGCAAGCATGGGACACAGTTCTGTCTTGTTTTGTAGGTAATCTACAAGAAGTTCACCATTGGGTGTCCTCTGAAAAACCATGACCCGAGTCAAGCCTCAGGAAATATGAGCAACAGCACCACGGAAGATGACGTGTGCGGGGCCAAATTGGTCACCCTGAACACAAGGGTCAGGCAGTTTATTCTGTTGCCATGCTTTCAGGTTGAATGCAGAGCCTGGAATACCTACTGTACCTATGTCCTTACCCCTGTGTCTTTGGGTTACAGACAGCATATACCGTCCCAATTTTGGCATTTGCCTTTGTCTGCCAGCCAGTAGTTCTGCCCATCTATACAGAACTGCGGAAATGAGTCCATCAACTAAAACCCACTATATTAAGATTAATGCTTTTTAATTAGTCTTAATCGAACAGTTTCACTTTGTTTTCTATGAAAACCTATAAAATTGTGAAATATATCATTTAGATACTATAATGACATCATATTGCATGAATGTCATTGAGCTGCTGTTAGATTTGTATGTAGGAGTATACTTCATTGACAAATTTTAGTCATTAACGATTTCTGCATCTCTCCATCTCTGCCTTTCTTCACTAGGCCGATGAAGAAGCGCATGCAGACAGTGGCTAACATCTCTGTGTTTGCCATGCTTGTCATGTATCTTCTTGCGGCTGTCTTTGGCTGCCTGACTTTCTATGGTAAGGGGAAGGGAAGGGCATTATGTACGCATTATGTAGCCTTGCACAAATGATAATACAGTAAGTGCATTAGAGAACATGTAAGATGACAGAGATGCTCTGGTTTTGGACTCTTTAATATCCCGGCTTGGTTGGTTTTGTGCACAGATGAGGTGGAGTCGGAGCTGCTCCACTCCTACCAGAAAGTCAGCAGTGCAAGACCACCTGATACTGGCCGTGCGTTTGGCTGTGCTGGTGGACGTGATCCTCACCGTGCCCGTGGTCATCTTCCTGGTAAGCCCCTTCCCTCCTCTGCATTGTGTATGCTATAAGAAGTGTGGACAAGGTCACGGTATTGACTCTCCTCGCTGAACCTCTCCTCAGATTCGGACTGCCCTGCTCCAACTCCTGGTCCCTAACAGACCATTTAACTGGGTGCGTCACAGCAGTGTTGCCTTCGGCCTGCTAGTCCTGGTTAACACTCTGGTCATCTTTGTACCCAACATTAAGGACATCTTTGGAGTCATAGGTCAGTTTTGGCTCTTCATCAGCTTTCCAGACACCAAGTTGAAACACGTCTAGAAGTTTCCCATGAACTGAGGGATGTTTATTCAGACAGACAACCCTCCTCACCTGACCAAATCCATGTCTCTTACTTTCCAGGGGCCACATCAGCGCCGAGCCTGATTTTTATATTACCGGGATTATTCTATATTAGAATTGTCCCGGTGGATCTGGAACCCTTGAAATCCAGAACAAAGATTCAGGTACATCCTTTTCCCCAAGAGTAGGCCTTGCTTCAAGTGTGTAATCAATTACACTAAGATGTTTTTCTCATTTTCTTCTCTCTCTCCTTTCCGTGTCAGGCTGCCTGTTTTACAGGCTTAGGGTTCCTGCTCATGGTGATGAGTATCTCTTTCATCATCATGGATTGGGTGTCTGCAGGAACCCAAGGCGCTGGTGGACATTAATTTCACTCTATGCCATGTTTTTAACTTAACCTGTAAATATGTTTATATTCATTTGTTCATGAAATTGTTTTTGTAGAAATAAAGTATGTCTTTTTATAAGTTTGTGTCCTTTTCAAAATGACTGGCATAGACTGCAAAAACTGAAGAAGCATTTTACTATTGTCCAGTATTAGTCAGTGTGAAAGTAAAAGTTTCAAAGTTCAAAAACCGAGGTTAGTACAGGATGGAAGGCGATGATCAAGCGGGTGCCTTTATGTTGTGCCCTTTTGAGTCTGAAAATATTCAAATTAATGTGTATATGACTTTCCCAGCCATTTTGTTCATACAAAGTCTTTATAAACGAGGCTCCTAGCTCTTGGTTCTGGGTTCGAGGATGGGCTCGACCGAGAACTTCTGTAGCTCCTGGGCACTATATATCCTGCGTTGCTTTCCCACCACACTACAGGATCTGGGTCCTTTACATCTCTGTGTTTGCCATGTTTGTTATGTATCTTCTTGCGGCTGTTCTCAAAGTACCGGTGTTCCGGGCAATTCAGTTTCCCTATGTTTCCCCTGTCTATCAGGAAATAATGTTTCCCCTAATATTAAAGCAAAGAGGTATGTGAAATGTCTGAAAATCACTCAGGTACATTATTACATGTGAATACTGTATTGCTATTAGTACCGAGGCCCAGAGTTGATGTATACCTGTTTTAACAGGAGGGAACCAAATATCCTGGATGTCAGGAAATAGTTTCGCCTAATATTTAGGCAAATATGTTTGTGATGTCTGAAAATCACTCAGGTATATTATTACATGTGAATACAGTAGATCGTCACACATAATATAGTCTTATAAGCAATACTATACCGTTTTCATCAAGAAATATCTCTATCCAGCAAATTAAATACTTTCATGTATTATCTGTAAAAACAAAAAACATCGAAAAGGCATGTGATGTTTTAAAATATATGACTTGTTTACCTCAAGAGCTTCGTAAAAAGACATGAAAACAACAGCGAAACCGTGTACAAATCAGCGCGCGACAGGGGAAACATAGGGAAACCGAATTGCCCGGAACACCGGCCCCGCAATGCACTTTAATACGACTGGTGAAGTTTAAAAAAATATGTACTAAATCACCTTTAAAAGCAATTAATATACGTGCAGCAATCGATTGTCGCGACAGCGCAAATATAAGTACGTCACAGTACATTTTAACCTTTATACCGCAAATGAAGCATATTATAAAGGTTAAAATGCCCGATCATTTCTCGTTCAGCACAAATGCACATAAATAAATACATTTGTAGAACATTCGATTGCCGCACGTATCGCTTTTGAAGGTGAATGTGAATGTTGGATCCCTGGACTTTTAGAAAGAATGTGCAGTAAAATTACACAAATTACGTACGTGTAGTGCTTCGGTTTACACATTTTGTGTCGATGTCAAATAAAACTGTTGGAAGAATGCAAGAGTTTTACACATAATCATGTGTAGTTTTAAAAGGAACACAACCTGTGAATTTGTTATAGCAGCATATATTCAACACAATATGTGTAGATTGATCTGTTTTACATACTTATAGTGTCAGCTTTTTTTTTTTTTAATTGCATCATCTACTTGATTTAGCTGAACATCAGCCAGCCAATAGTCTCACTTTATTGTATACGGTCGTACATAAAATATTATATTTTCCATCGTAATAATTTAACTATGCGAATCGCTAAAAATCCGCAAGTCAGTGGCCGCTGAACGTTTCCGTTTCTCCTAGACGATGTAAGCAAAACTTCGTTTTTAAGGTGGTTATTACTGCGCTGTTAACGCAATTCCCAATTTGAACTTTCCGTTGTGAAACTGATTATGTATATCTGAGTAATGGAGAAAGCCGCAAGACTTTTAAATGGTAATTAATTCCATGTAAGTTGGCTCTCTTCATAAAAGTTATCTGCAGGCGGAATATTTTTGTCATTGAATAGGTTGCGTTGTATTATTTAATTATTTACACAATACCCGTGTCGTTGGAAATGTACCACGTAATTATTAACCTTTTCAAATATTTGAATTTTAAGTCACTAAGTCAAAACCTATGGAGCGTTGTTCGTTCAAGTTGATGCCGTGCATGAATGTATTAAGAATGTGCAGTGAATCTGGACCATGTGCGAAAAGCATACTGGAAGATTTTTACATTTAAAAAAAAAAAAATTGTTGGAAGACGTTTGTGAGAGGGAGAGGTTTCGCGCCTGTTTGACTGCTTACAAGATTATTGGAGAACGTTATTTTCGTTTCTTAACATATTTAGATGATAAAATAACAGGTTTAGTTCGGTTCATAATAGAACAGGCCCTGTATTTTACTCTATATTAAAATATTTTGGCGCCATTGATGCCGGCTAGGTATCATATATACAAGCATACAAATTACTGCTAACAATTTCAAAATGGCCGAGACAGCTAATTTACTGCATGGGCCAAAAACGGCGCGAAGTACGTTTTTAAGTATTGTTGCTCACCTTGCAAAATGGAAATTTAAATTGTAAGATGTTTTATGTAGTTCAGAGCCATTTTATTAGCATTTAGTTTGAACCTGGTATGAGTTAAGAGTTTGTTAGAATTATATATTCGGCGCATCATGAGGCGGAGTATTTTTTTTTTTCATCTCTTACATGGCTAACGATCTAATTTTGCTGTGTTTATCATTCAGTCACATGGACCAATCTAAAGATCAACTTGGGTGCACAACTGACCAAAACCGTGCTTGTCACTATCTATATCACTACGAAATCAAACCCCTTAATTTTTACCCCTTAAAATTACCTTAATTACTGCTATATGTGAAATTAAGAGAAATTAAGGGAAAAAGTGCACAGATTAAGGCCAATTAAGGTGTAAAACTACTGAATTTTCCCCTTACTTTTTCAAATTTGCCCCTTAAATTTACATTTAAAAAATCCTTATTTCATCCCTTAATTTTTTATGAATTAAGGGGCAATTTAAGATTGTTTCAACATAACATTGCCCTTTAATTCTGAGTATTAAGGGGCAGTTTAAGAGTACTGTAAGGTTCCTTTACTACTTAAAATGACTTACATCTCCCCTTAATTCTAATAAATTAAGGGATAGTTCAGTAGTATTATAAGGGTCCGTAAACCCTTAAAATTCTTTATTTTGCCCATTATTTTTTATTAATTAAGGGGTTATTTAAGACTGTTTTAAGTTCTTAAGCACTTAAAATATCCTTATAAAAATATCACTTAATTTTAATTGTGTGCTGAAATGTTTAGGTAAAAAATAAAGCATAATAAATCACAAACCAATATGATAAAATATTGTTTATTATTATGCATAAATGAATTACAACGAAAAAAGCTTTCTTTTTTTTACAGGCCGCTTGCCTCCTTGGGGTTGAAAAGCCTTTGGTGGGCTATAATTAACGTATTCATAGCCTCTTCCTCCTTTAAATTTGTTGCTTCCTTCTTCCACTTCTTTTCTCTCCTCATCTGTCTTCTCGCCTCTATCTTTGTCTTCTGCTCCTTGCTCCTGCTGCTTACTTAGCCCATCTATGTATTTTTTCCTCCATTTCACTTTTTCCCCTGCCTATAATGGTAAAGAAGAAAAAATATTAGGAGGATAGAGCTTGTCCAAACATGCAATTACTACAACTTGTACATCAAAATGTATTAACTTTCGGATCAGTCAGTAAGATGTATGAAATTAAAATGAAACAGCTAGTCAAAAAGTTTATATAGCCTTATGCTTGTTCTTACGGGGTTTTTGTAGGTGTCAGCAAATCCATAATGTTCTATACATAAGGTATTTACTAAAAATGGAATAGCGGCCATGTTAAAATGTGCTCCCTGAAACCAGTTTATTTTTCTTTATGTGGCCTCCGGCACCTGCAGCCCAATGTAGTCCCCCACTCTACTGGAGATCCACCCAGGCATGTAATGCCCACGTTGGCCTTCGCCGTACAGCAACGACACCAGAATTAACTCCGCGTCAATCACACACACCAGCCGCACACTAACCCCGGATCCACACAGACCTGCCGCGGCTTCACTCCCTCCAACTGCCCCTGCCTGCAGCTGAATCGAAACGCCTTTGACCGACCGGAATTACCGTCATATATACACTCTACTCACTCACTCCTGGGTCCTAAAGTCCCACTCGTTACATTTACATCAACTTGTGTCAGTAAATGCTGGGTGAGTACTTGTGATTTGGACTCACAATGGTATAGAGCAGAGGTAGCCAATCTTACCCGCAAAGGGCCGGTGTGTATGCAGATTTTTGGGATAACCTGTAGGTCAGCTGTTCAAACCCAGGTGTGAGGACTCTTATTTGTCAGTTAAACTATTTTTAATGCTATGTAAGACCATAATTTTCACCAAATTGGTTTAATTACTTCTAATCCTTATAATGTCCCATGGAAACCCAGTCTAAGAGCTGCCCAGAAAAAAAATATACTTTGATGATATTTCAAGGAAATTACTTACTTTGTAAAGGTGCTTAAATGGAGGTGTGATGTCCTGGAGGCATACCTCAAGTGCTTCTGTTCTTTCTACAAGAAACCACAAACATTTCAGGTATGTAGCAGTTTGAAACATTATTCAAAATTAAGTTCAAAACCTGAAACTGTGCAGTACAGTGAATCAAGCAACAGGATTGGGAAAATGTAAAAACACATTTTACCTCCAACAACTTTGCCAAGGGCTACTGTTCTCCCATCTTTTTTCAGCAGTCTTACATGCCTGTAAACACATAAAATATGTATGCACATATACTGTATTGATCCTGATAGGTTTAAGATTGCAAAAATATCAGTTGGGCTGTCGACTGCAGAATATTTAAGAAGCTAAATTATGAAATGTATTACTA